GTGGACTTGATATGGTCGATGGTGGACTGGACGGTGCTCACGACATCGAGGAACTTTGTGCCTTCGCCGGGGGAGGAGATGCCGGGGGTGGTGGGCGTGGTGACGCCGATGACAGCCAGCTGCTGGTCCTCGAAGATGTGGTAGGGCTTGATGGTCTTGTTGAGCTTCTCGTTGTCGGAGACGATGTTGGCCGAGACGATGGGGAAGGTGAGGTTCTGCAGGAAGTCACCGAGCTCGTCGTCGCCACCGTCGAACTCGTGGTTGCCGAGGGTCATGGCGTCGAAGCCGAGCTGGTTGATCGTCTCGGCGATCTTCTCGCCCTTGTAGAAGGAATAGAAGAGGGTTCCCTGGAACTCGTCGCCGGCGTTCAGCCAGAGAGAGTCGTTGTACTGGGGGCGCAGCTCGTCGACGGTGTGCTTGATGCGGGCATAGCCGCCGTAGCAGCCACGCTCGGGGCGGGTGCAGTCGGTGCCTGAGGAGGAGTACTCGTCGAGGTGGGCGTGGACGTCGTTCACGTGGAAGAAGGACATGTTGAAGTTGCCCTCGGCGTCGATGCCGCGCTTGGAGAGTCGGGAGGAGTAGAGGTGGTCTGCATCCTGCTTCTCGGGGACCGCGAGCGCGGTGCCGGCGAGGGCGAGGGCCAGCGTTGAGATGGATTGACGCATCTTGGATGAGGCCGGAATGTGGGTGAGAGGGGAAGAATAACGAGCAATTGAGGCCGCGATTGAGAGCAGATGCAGTAGAAGTCAATGAAGGCTTCACGATGCTGCGATTGACGATGCGCCGCGTTGAGGACGTGGGGGAGGGAGGAAGAGAAGATCTTCGGCACGCTGACGTCGCGAAAGAGGGAGCTATCGTCAAATGTCACAAGCTTCCCCTCGGCGGGATTATATACGAAATTTTCTAATCTCTTGCCAAGACCTTTCAGAGACACGCCGATCTCTGCAGCTTCGTTATGGGCGGGTTGCGACGGTGCCACGGGCAACGAGTAGAAAATCCCACGAGGCCCTGCATGCGAATTGCGCTCCGCGGTCTCTGGTCTGCTCTCTTTCGCGAGAAAGGTGAGTGGCTGGACGGCCCCGTTGGCGGCGCGCGCAGCCAAGACGTTAGCAAGGTTGAATGATGCCGGGAGAACAGCTTCTTTGGTGACGATGTTGCATTTGCCAAGCCTCAAGCGCAGATGAGGGGTGTAATACACGTGTGGTCGTGGTTCAGATGATTGGCTTATCAGCGGCTCCTTTGCCTCTTTCGACCTTGGGGGAGTGACGGGCAAAGGGTTCCTGGGGTTCGTCCGTCTACGTCCGCCGGAGATGGGGGCGCGATTGTTGGTGTAAGCTCCTTGGCTTGGAGACGGGCAGTGACCAATCTGCACTCTGCGAATCGTCACGGTCTCGCTGAAGCTTGTTCCACGTTCCTGAACGGCGACCGAGGAATTCGTTATGGTGTGATAGAATGTCTTGGATGTTTGGAAGATTCCATGTCTGATGTGGATAGCTGGGCAGCCGCATGCTCACCGGCTTCGGTTGGTTTGTGTCATGCAACATGAAAAACCACCCTGATGAACCAGATCAACAAGCGGAGTACGCAGTAGCTTGATGTCCACAACCCGCCCCGTCCTGGATGAGCCCAACATGCACACCGAAACAGTCTCTCGGTACTGGAGCATGTCAGCTGGGGTGGCGATCCCACGTCGCCGTGATGTTGTGCCAGACCGGCTTGGCAGCACTTTTGCTCTACCATCACCAATCTCATCCGTCCTTCTCTTTTCATGCAAGCTTCGATATCCAATGTCTCACGAGCTGTCCATCGAAACCCGGGAGGGAGGACCAGCTCTGCACCCCAGTTGGCGCGGCCGTCCGCTGGTAACGATCCCTGACAGCCAGTGGGGTTCAGCGGAGGAGCACAAATAACGTTAATCCATTCAGCGGTCGTTCCCCAGCTGTGCCCTCAAACTTTGCTCTGATAACGTTGGGTTCCTAGGCCGAACACGGAAGGTGAGCTGCTGATGGCGCTGAGCTCCGCTCCGCCAAGGCTGAGAGCCTTTCAATTTCAGCGAGAAGCTGCGGTTCCGGCCCCGGGGTTTGGTTGGAGGGGCATTGGCCATTTACCGCGGGCGGAATGGAGCTTGCGTAAACGCGTCGCGTTGAGTGACAGACAGCTGGGGTGAGAGATAAGAAGACGGATGCCAACGCTGTGGCTGCCCAGCTCGGTGATGAGCTACCCTTCTTGGGCAAAAAGGCACGCGAGCCTATCTTGAATGCAGAGCATGTTGGTTGTCTGGAATCGCTGCAGGTGATTGATATTAATTCATGAGTCGGATGTCGCCGAGCAGCGGTGCCTGGATCCGGCGTGCTTGATAGCTGGATGCGGGCGGCACAGCATCGTGTACTAGTTGGCTCTGTGCTTGCTCTGGCAAGACAGCATCAGCATCGTGAAGAAATAAGCAAACTAACAATTGCATTATGGATCGAGAAATTAATAAGGATCGTTATATCAAAACCATTGTTGTTGACCATGACATAGCCAATCCAAGCCCAAGCACGTTACATTGATTTCAGTGAGCTCCTCACTACGCCCAGGGGCTCACCGAAAGTTTCAGTGAGAGGCTCGGTAAGCGGGATTACACGCTGCGACTGACAATACCAACAACGCCATAGGGATCTTAATGCTCTTCATTCTCTATAAATGAATGCAATCATCCTCACTTTAGGTACTGAAATGGATGTTCTTATATTTTCCTGAGAATTGGTCAGCACGCTGCTTGTCGCATCCAGCATCCAGCTGCGGATGCACCTCTTGGAGTGATCTTTAGGCCTTGAGTTCCGTATTTGAGGTACCTTACCTACTCGGTCTTAATTATGACTCCGGCTTCAGTTAAACTGGATGTTACAAAAGGTTTTGCTATCCGGGCGGATACTTCAGGTAATCCGGCAGATAGCTAACCACCTAGTACTTATATGAAGCCTAGGTATTCGTCAGTTATATTTCAATAATTCAACTATTACTATCGTCCCCATCGTCCCTGCTATACTTTTTAGTATGCTCTCTCTATCCCTAGGCATGCCTATTATCGTTGTCGTCGGTATCCCTATCGCCATCTATGGCCTCCACCCGCCCGCAGAGCTAGAAGTATCCGCACTGATAGCAAGACTCTTTACAAAAGCTTCTCGGCATACCTAGGCGAACTTCGGCCATAGGGGTTATACCTCAATAGCTCAAAGCCACCCGTCAGAATCGGCATTGTAGGTGCCGACCTTGATACATTTTCACCATCTTGAAAGTCAAATTCCGTGCTGCCCACCCATGAACATCATTCACCTATCACTTTTTGGGCGCATTCCGAAATCTAACGATCAAACCTTTCGACAATGCTAAATCTCACCGAGCTCCCCGAGGAGCTGATTTTGGAAATTTGTCGTCAACTTTGCTTCGGCCGAGTGACTTGGAAACGACTAATCGACAGACGTGGACCTCCTCTCCTAGTCGGCCAACGCGAGGAGAATAATGACGTTGCAAACCTCGCAGCTACATGCAGATTGCTACACAGAGTTGCGACCCCAGAACTCCGAAGACATATCCTTGTCACAGATTACGCTGGCTCAAGTAGCGCACTGCAGCTAGCCAAACTGCTGGACTGTGTTGCCGCGGATCCGGTCGCTTTCGCCCCATCAGTCAAACATGCCGTTCTTGAATTTGATTGGAACTATGGGAGGCAGTTCGAAGAAGTCGGTGATATGGGCCGACTTCGTCTTGCTACGAAACGGGCGAGGCAGGCTGGCCAGATCGTGATGTCGGACGTAGACTACCGAGCATCACAACACGATCCATGCTATTTTCATATAGACAAGCTTGCAGTTGCATTCCTGAGCCAGCTGAAGCATCTCAAGAAGCTCAAGCTTGAATCCGATGGATACGTCTTGGTAGACATGGCACTATACATTCAGACACACTACCAATCCTTTCTTCCTTCTCTTGAGTCCCTCACGCTCTCGGGTAGGCAGGGGATGTTCGAGGCACGGGGATCTTGCATAGCTGCCAGTATAGCACACTTCGGAGAAAGACTGAAAGCTGTGGAAATTTGTCGTATCCCGATTGACAATGTTAGCGGCTCGACCTTCAAAAACTTAACCTCGGTCAAACTCATGGACGCATCCATACAGCTGGAATCCCTGCGCCCTTTGTTGAGTGAGTGTCGCCTCGAGGAGTTCGTCTTCTGTCGCGCCCTAAACCACAGCTTCAGCGCGTCTGATGTTATCGATGCCCTCACACCTAGCGCGGATACTTTGAGGTCTCTTTTCCTTACCCTGGGTGACTATTGGGCCCAGCCTGAGTTTCCTTCGAGTTGCATAGGGCAGCGACATCCATTCTCAATGGACCATTTCAAGACTCTGGAGAACTTCAGGATCGATGATTGGCGTGTGGCGCGGCGTGCACGGCATACCGCCGGAGCGTCTCCAACGGACATTGTCGACGCGACTAATAGCACGAATCTTATCACGTACGCTGTTTTGCCTTCAAATTTGCCAGAATCACTTAAGCGGTTCCATTTATATCGATTCATCCCCACCACCTCCCCGAATAGCACCCTCAGCGCGGGGGCCTTGGCACTGCTCGACGTCATCGCGGACGAGTGCTCGAGGGGACGGAGGAAATGTCTCAAAGAGGTAGCATTCCAGCCTGTTGGGGAAGAGACCAAAGAAGTTTACGAGGAGCTCGAGGCCGCAGGCGTTGACGTGTTACGAATGCCAGCAGCTGGCCCGTGGGACTGGCATTGCATTTGAGGAGGCACGGAAATGCTGTGATGTGATGAGCAGTTACCTATGATCTGCAAGAGCTGCATATTGCGTTTGCGCATCTGAGACTGTAACCAGGCAGATTTGAGTATAAGAGATTACATCTTCAACTTTTAAGCTAAAAAAAGATCAAATACCCCCTCACATCCCACCATCCTCGCCAACCTATCCTCGCGACCGTACATTTCTCTTCAAAATAGGCTATCACTACCTGAAGCTCAAAGTGGTGTGCGTGATTTCCATTGGCTCATCATCGTCGGATAGATAGATCTTCTCGACTTTCGTTTTTTGGCTCATTTGCGAGAGCGCATCGCCCTTCATCTTAGAAGTGTCGATATATGTGCCAGTTTGCTGCAAACGAGACGTGTCGATGGGCAGCCCAAAGCTCTCATATGCCCGGTTTGGATCCATAGGCTGCTCCAACTTACGCTTGAAATCGGGATCCCATTGGGGTTCGCTAGGCCCGGACTCCGGCTCCTTCTTCTTCTGCTCACCAGACTTCAAGAATCCGAGTTCTTGGATTCGTCTGTAGGCACGGCTCGAACGCGCTATATCGTTGACAAGCTTCGTGTTGAACACGTCTTTCGCAGCTCTCAACACGTCTGCACCTTCTGGCATTGCGGCAAGAGCCTGTAGGATCCACACTGTGACCAGAGGAACGTTGATCTTCGCCTTCATTGGTGTGGCCAGCGGGCCGAGGATCGGAACCAGCATCGGCTCGCACCTGTCGCGTACGAGCTTGAGAATTCTGAATGCTTCGGCGTGGAGGATCAAGAACGGCAGGTTGGCAAGGAGAAGCTCGTCTTCAAGAAGCGTAGCTAGCTCCACAATCAGCTCCACGGGGTATTTGGGTTTGAAACCGGCACCGCTAGCCCTTTCGACCAGAGATGTCACGTCCTCAAAGGTCCAGTTCTCCGATCCCGTCTTTCCATTGAAGGTTACGTATCTGTCGTAAAACGCCGAGTGCATCGGAACCCGCTCAGTGATCTTGCCCTTTTTGCCATCGAGGAGCCTGGCTCTTCGGGGCTGGGTCTTTGCTTCGTCGACGAAGTTGTGAATTGAGAATCCCAGGTGCATGGCAATGTTCCTCATATAGCCAGGGTTGTAGTCGGCGCCTTCGCCATCCAGAAAAAAGTCTTCCGCCTGATCCTCCGTAATCATGCCTAACAAGCGGGAGTCCACCCACTCGCTTGCAAGAAAGTCCACCACACCGCCTACCTCACTGCCTATTGCGTCCCAGAGATGAATCGCGCAGACGATGGACCGCGAAGCATTGGCGATGGCAATTCCGGTCTTGTAAAGAATCATGCGATACATGTACAGTGCCAGACCGCACATCATGGCGTTGTACTTGAACAGACGATGTTTCTCCAGCTCCCTTTTGGCCTGCCCCCTCTCGCGCCTAGGGAATTTCTTGATCTTGGCCTGCCAGACGGGGTCCTCGTCCAACAGCCACTTGATCTCCTGATCCATCTCTCTGATACGTGCATCGTACGGCTCCATCTCCTCCAACGACTCCGCCTCTCTGATAGCAGCGTAGTAATCTGCGACTATCCCTCGTACTGCTCCTATCGTCTCGATGAACTTGTCAATGATGTGGCTGTCGACGTTGAGGTGCTCCCCTTGGCTGAAGAAGGCGTGCATATCCGAAATAATGGCCGTTGCGAAAACGAGATAGAAAGGCACCTGGCGAGTCTCGACGGCTTCTCTGACGCCACGCAAGAGTGTGTCTTCTACAGGCCAGTTTGGAACAGATTCAATAACGACCCTAAGATCCTCAAAGAGGGGCTTCAGTATGGCGAATGTTTCGGCGTAGTCGCAGTATTCCATTCCGAGCTCGTGAGCCGGGTTCCTGGGGATGAATGGGAATGGCGGCCCTGGGGGTGCGATAGAAGGTAGAAGTTCAGCCAGCATGTTGTAAGCATTCGCGAAGCTCCACAAGCCAGCTCCGTACATGATTTGGTCGTCGCTGATAGATTATTGGGGCTGGCCGGGCTTCAAAAGACCAAAGTAAGGGTCAGTGGGATTCGCCTTCACACGATAAGTTAGTCGATCGCAAGCTGGAGCAAATGGATGGTCTGACTTACAACATAAGCGCCTTCTCTATGTGAGATGTAAATTTTCTTCGCGTGCCCAATAAGAGATACCGCTGTATCAGCACCGCTGTTCCCAAAACCAACAACGAGTACACGTTTCCCCTTGAACTCTTCTGGTCTGGCAGATTGCGTTAGGAAAATGGTCTCAGACTACAGGCCGGCTTTCGTACAAACCTTTTGAACGATTTTGAGTGCACTTGTCGGCCAGGGAAAGATTGGATACCCTTAATTTCAGGGTAGTTGGGCGTCTGGTTCATGCCTGTTGCAATAATGACCCTGTCAAAGATTTCGGTCGGGGAGCCATCGATCTCAATGACCCATTTCTTCGTAGTTTCGTCATGACGTACACGTCCCACTTGCGTATTGAGACGTATGAAAGGACGTAGCTTAAAGTGGTCTGCGTAGCTTTCGAGGTAATCTTCAACTTGCTTGGCCGAGCATTGGCTTGGTACATCTAATGAACGTTGAGTACGCCCGAGTAACGTCGGTCGATAAATCACTGTACGCTTACCTTTTGGAAACGGAAAGTCTGTAAAACACCCCTATTGAAGTGTGGTTAGCGGGAGTCCCGAATCGCTGTTCTCCAGACTGACATACCCTCTCTTTAGAAATGTTGACGATAGTGGCTATGGCGTGGTATTGATGGACTTTGGTATCAAGAACGGCAAATCTAGAGACCGTACTTGGAAGCACAGAAGTCTTGTTTTCATCTGGGGTGTACTTCCAGAGCCCACCAAAGTATGAGCTCCTCTCAAAGCCAATCGCCTGGAAGCCCTCTTCTAGACAGTTCTTCAAGGCGACGAGGCCCAATGATCCTGATGTAGTTAGCGAGACGAAGAGAGAGAACGAAGACGTGGACTACCCCATGCCAATCACGACAACTCTGTTGCCTCTGTTCATCTCGTTGACAAGAGGCTGTGGTTGTCAGTACATCTAGCGAATGATATCGTATCACGAATTGTGCGATTGCCTCCCAACTCCAACTTGTAGGCTCTGTCGCATGGACCCCTAGAATACCTACTTTCAGCTGCCCAGAACGGTGAGGAGCCGGATAGGCTGACATGCATCCTTTAGTGCCGCGTGGCGTCTGCTAATTCGTCCCGGACAGGGGAGCAGGAGATTCTTAGTGGGCAGTGTTGGGTGTCTCACAATCAGCTGTTTGACCCTAGTATGCCTGAAGTAGTGCTTCGGCGGGGAAGTTGGCGCTCCTTTCGTAAATCCGCCAACCCTACCGAACGGCTGCGATATAATATCCGAGGATTCTTCCTTCCTGCAACTATTTTCCTTACCAAATCGTCAGGTAATTGAGTAGACATGCCCAGCCAAGATGAGACATATCTCTGCACTCTACATAGCGCGACGTCAAGGGCGACGTAAATTGTGGAACATCCCATGTGCGGAATTATTCCTCCCAGCACCTCAGTGAGTCGTACTTGAAGTCGCATCACATTGCACATGGGGATGATCTAAGCTCAACTTGGACATTCGACGCGAGCGGTCTGGTCAAATTTAATCACAAGTCGATCAACCCCACGAGGTGCAGGTACGTTTGATGCATAACGGCTGTTTTGTGGCGCTCTGTGAATGGTACAGAGCTCGAAAGGCCGATAATGTGGATTAAACCCTTTTATTTTATTGGGCAGTCTTCCCGTGCCTCGAAGGCACATTTCACGTACTTGGTGCCCTTGATTGAGGAATATGATTAAGAAGGTCATAACAGCGGGGACGGTTCTAATTGAATTGATGATAATAAAAGAAGCAAGTGACAATAACGGCGACGACAGAAACGTCCACATAAACGACCACAGCGACGATATTGAGAACTACCACAGCTCAACCCATGAGAAACGGTGCTCATTTCGCCCGGTGAAAATGGCGTTCTCTCTCGTCAGTGAAATCATTGTCTTCGCGTCTCATATCTAGTAAACTTATTGAGTAGGGCAAGTCCCATTCATCTGCTGAAAGACGCTGCATGATAATAGCTTATTGGTCGATGTGAACAGTTGGTTCAGTTGGGCTGGGGATCTCTGGTCCGCCAGGGTTGACAGATGTGAGAATCGGGTCGATGCCGATGATCTTGTCCTCCTCAGCACTGAGGACCTCGCGGAACTTGAGCAGAGAGGTTGTGGTAAAGTCATTGGTAGTAATGACAGCTCCATGGATGAAAGTGAACTTGTTGTTCACCACAATATTCCATTTAGATTCCAGCTTGGCCAGGAACTTGTCCAGGTCTGCTTCCTATTGAAGACGGAATTAGCAATGCTGTATGTGCTGTTGCGCCTTTCCAAGGCGGGTACAAATAGTCAACCTACAGGTCGAAGAATGATAATATATCGGCCAGCAAAGACACTGGCGATGAGTGAAGAAAAGGCAAACACGCCGGCGAAACGCATGTTGACTGGTGTATCAAGCCTTTAAACCCTTTTTGTTCGTTGGTTGTATTGAAGACTGCTGGTAAACCTGGGTCGATTGTTCTGGTGAAATGGTTGCCCCCTGCCCGTGGCACCCAAGCTCTTTATAATCATCAATTCCATTCCTTCGTGCTCCCTTTCCCACCCAGTGACAAAACATAAGTTCCGTCATACGGACCAAAAATCACACCTCGTGGGTCCTGTTGACATTCGCCATTCGCGGAAAGGTTTCGGGCGTCTGCCAAGGTGTCACCCAAGACAGCCGGATTAAATGCAAGCTTGACCAAAACCTTTCTCACTTTCCTCAATAGGTGATCAAAAACGATGTTTTCCTCCCAGTAAAGAGAAAACTGGAAATTGCACATGGTAAGTTTGTGTGTCTTGGTTCTCGCATAAACGGCAGATCGACATTGACTGCTCATTTGGGACATTCCAAGACCTCACGATGCGGAGACGTGTATTCTTAAACGGGAATATCGCGACCGGAAAGGGTATACTTGGCAAATGCTTTCAGATTTTACCGCATGCAGTCGCTAAGTCATCGTAAAATAGGTCAAGTCTATTACCCTCAAAATAGAAACCTCACATGCGCCGGTATTGCGTCAACGGGCTCTAATCTTCGTCCATCGGCTCCGACGGCTCGGCACGTCATGCCACCCCGTTCTGGCATTTGACGCTCAGTCCCATCGTCAATGAGGGCTGACTAGCCTCGAGCTAGCATCTTCGGGCACGCAAGTGTCTTCAAACACCATTCCTTTAAGAATGAGATACTTCAGGACAGACGGACCTCGCTTCCAGTCTTCGCACTCTCCTTGACAGCTTCAATGATGCGAAGCACATCGCGTGCCTCGCTTGCCGGGACAGGAACGTCTTCATCTTTTCCGGTCTCAACAGCCTTGGCGAAGGCCTCGAAGAGCTTGAGGTAAGTCTTGGGCTCGACGGTCAACTTCGTCCTCTCCTCGATCTTGCCACCCTCCTTGACGATGAGCAGCCTGCCGCCGTTGATGGGGTCCTCCACGCCAAAGCCGGGTTCGTTGGGCTTCTTGCCCGCCTTGAGCTGGTCTTCTTGGGGATCGAGCGCCGTCTTGTGGAACGAAGCCTTGGTGCCGCGCACCCAGAAGCGCGGCTGGATGCTCTCAACGCTCATGACGCCGATGCGCACGCTGACGATGAGACCGTTCTTGTATGCAAGCTGGGCGTGCACACTGTCGGGATCCTCGGGGTCGAACTTGCCCTCACGCTGGTTGATAAGCTTGCCGTAGACGGTTTCAGGGAGACCAAAGAGATGGTAAGCTTGGTCGATAAGGTGGGAGCCGAGGTCATAAAGCGCGCCACCGCCATCGGCCATGCCCAGCTCTCCCTTCCAGGAGCCAGGCTTTTCAGCACGGTAACGATCAAAGTGTGTGTCGAATTCGTAGACGCGGCCAAACACACCGTCATCAATCATCTTCTTAACGGTCAGGAAGTCGCTGTCCCAGCGACGGTTCTGGTAGACGCAGATAAGACGGTTGTTCTCTTTAGCGATCTGGATGAGCTCCTCGGCCTCAGCGACGGTCGGCACGAAGGGCTTCTCGACCATGACATGCTTGCCAGCCTGCAACGCCTGCTTGGAGAAGCTGAAGTGGGTGTTGGGCGGGGTAAGAATGTTGATGATGTCGACCTCAGGGTCCTGGAGCATGGGCTCCAGGGAGGTGTGATGTTTCAAGGTGGGGTAATCATTGGGGGCAGATGATGATGCCGTAGGCTTACGCTGCACGATGCTGTGCAGGTTGAGCTGACGAGTGAGGTTGATGAAGGGGATGTGGAAGACCTTGGCGGAAAGGCTGTGATGGCAGGTCAGCACGTGGTTCTCCTCGGTGAATGCGCCACAGTGAGGCTATTCCGGAAGCATGCAAGGGTCTTGCAGCAAGGATATGCGATCATCGGTCGCAGGGAAGCTTAACTCACCCGTATCCAATGATTCCAACGTTGTACTTCTTATCGGCAGACATTTTGAATGGTTTGCTGTGCATTTAACTCTGAGGATCTGACGCACCTCTCAGCTCAAGCTCTGCGCGACCTGCCAGCTTTATAGGTATCGTCGACTCGTGTTGTTGAGCATGAACAGAGCTGATGAGGGGCAGCGTGGAGGCGTGGAGGAGCACGGTGGAGTGACGGGCCAAGATTACCGCATTGCGTCACTAGGGACATGCTCGGCGCTTTTCTCAATGGACAACGGAGAAAATTGCCCCATTTTCGGAGTGCTCGTCAGGTTACAGACCTGGACGCTAACACGAGTTTGACACACGGGGATGACCAAGCACGAAGGACTGTTAAAGTTACCCAATTAGGTGACCGAGGAGAAGTTTTCGGTGAGACGCCGCTTCACCGAACTCGGTTTTGAATCAAGCTGTTAAAATTGCCGATTTGGGTTCAAGTAACGACGCTTGAGGAAAGAGGCAGAACTACAGGGAAATTTTCGCGACAGGTATTGGTTCAGACTGAAAGTAACCATTCACCGCACTCATCTTGAGTCTCAAGCAACTTGAAGGATGACGAAGCTTAATAATACACTGTTAAAGTCAACATCCCGTGCGACGTGGCACTCGGCCTGGTATCCTAAGCATAAATCGTCCAAAATTCCTGCATGTACAGCTCAAGGAATGAATGCCTCCTCTGATGCTCCTGCAATGATGATCCATGTAGTGCAGGAAGAGAGAAATGAAAGAAGAAAAGGAGTATAGGCGGAAGAGAAAATTCAAGAATGCTCCATTCATAGTGAAGGTGTCGCGATGAAAGGAAGGATTTTGTTCCCCGTCATATAAGCGCCCTGGGGCTGCACTCTCAACGAAAGGGAATCTTCGACATAGAAGTACGCGCGACAAAACACGTACACGGCACAGAAGACGGTCGTTGGAACAACAACTCGGAGTGGGACTTTCATGTCTGGGTTCTGATCGCGAGAGATGTTTCGCCACGATCCAATCCATTTGCGAGCCCTGGATACGAACGGTTCGGCACGCGTCGACAGCATGAGCTTGAGCTCGCTGCTGCTTTGGCTTTGGTGCCTCTGGGCTTCGGGGTCTTCTGTGTCGATGGATGTAGGCAATGCCTTGTACCTTTCTGGTCGTTTGTTGCTCCTCCAGACTTCGATACTGTAGTATATGCCACCGTACAGCGAGAAAAGCATGTGGTAGGTGGCACATATTCTCCATGATTTTCGCTCGGTCTCAGTGGGGAAGAAAAAGTTCCATCCAAACATGAAGGAGCAACTGAACACTGCCATCACGAAGATGCTAGGGATCCAGAGCCAGAAACTAATCGGCATCCAGATGTCTGATGGGATACGGCTCCACGGACGTCTTTCGTGTGGCCTCGATTTGGACGGTCGCGTGTCCATCGGCCGCGAGAATAGATGGAGGCGCATCATGTCACACAACCTTGTGTAGTACGACCAGTGCGTAGCGATCCTGAACTCCTGATAACTTATAAAGTCCAACGGAGTGTTAAACCACTCATCAGGCAGGGTAGAGTGCGTCTGTTCTTGGCCTCAGCCTTCAAACTCATGACGATGATAGTCAAGTAAACTGAGAGCTTACAGTGCGTCTTGCGTAGTCCCTGATGTCCGAAACCAGAGCTCCATTCTTGGTTTCAATGTACTGCGGTTTTGTTATGGTAGGCTTGCAGGCCCAGCAGATCGAAGTTGCAAACATGACAAAGGTGAATGAAAGAGCGGTTAGCTCCAAAGGAGTGATAGGTAGGCCCAGTCGGAGGCGATCTCCCTCTTTGATGCAGAACAAGATGGCCTGCCATACTGTAATGATTCTGCTCGCAGACGCATGTCAGAAATGCCATAATAAGACAAGGCTAGTTTCTTCATCGTACCTGGAAAGAGCGTCCACGCTGTTACGCTCAGAAATGGCCATTGCCTTCATGTCCGGATAATCGACGAAATTATGCTTGATCAAATAATATAGTTGGGCGGCATTGATAGGGAACGTGCTCCCCTCTTTGTAATCGGGACTCATCAGATGTATTCCTCCCATATCGACAAAGAATGCCTGCTTCAGTCCCCATTTCTTCCGGCCATGTACGTATGGGAGTTTCCTGAACTCCTATTACAATAGTCGTTAGTAAAGGTAACACATCGAGAAACACAGCATCTCTAATGATCGGCACATGAACACAACTAACCTTGACGCTCTTCCTAGCACTAGCGAGTTGTCCAACGGCGATGCCAAAAAGAAAGTCGGGTCCGAGAAGGCCGATGGCAGCAAGGTTGAACTTGTCAATAACAGCGTGCCACCATCTGTCTTTGGGTCCCAGCGCATTAGGATGAGTAGCTACCCAGACGCAAAGCATGATTGTCAGGTTACTGGACCAAAGTATGTCGATGGTACCTCTGTCGTTGCCTGCATCAACCCATCCGCATACTGGTTTCCAGATATCGATCGTTCCGTTCTTCGAAGCATCTGTTGAATTGCTGCAGTAGTAACCCCACGGGTGCGTGTTCGGATCCGCCATTCGGGGCGATGCAAGTCGGCTCTCAGCCACTCTCGGGGCTTAGGATCGTCGTTATCGTTGTCGTAGGCTGATTCGTTGCCACTGTTAGGCAGACTTTGGTTGTTGTTGGTGTAAGAGTGTTGCAGTGCAATGCGTGGTTGGAACGCAAGCTCTCAGCAACACAACAGGCGAACTGCAATCTTGATCCAACAAGATGGGCGATCGGGAGCTAAGTAGAAGAGAGGAGGAGGGAAGGCAGTAGCATAACAGCGGGCGACCTCCCCGACCCGGGCATTTCTCGCCATCAGGCTGGCACCAACAGGCTTCGACACCCTTGCCATGTGCATACGGATATTCCATTTCGAGAGCAGCGAAACGCGGCCGACACTTGGTTTTGGGGGCCAAATGTGCAGCAACACGGATATAATTGTGCCGCCCGCAGCCGCTGATACATAGTCATTTCCCTCGTGTTGTTGGGTGCTACTGTTGGTTCTGCTTCTGCGAGGGGGATCTTCAAGTTGAGACATGGGCCTTGGTGATGGACTCACGCAGGCAGCTCTGCACCCTGGCCTCCGTTGACAGGGGTCTGTTGGGACGCAGGCTGACAAGTGTGCAATGAACTTATCGTTGGGCAGGTTGGCTGCATGCCACCGGGGCATCACAGCGGGCCGAGACCAATAGAGTCGCGCCATGAAGCGGAGGGTTGCTTTTCGCGTTCTCGGCGCGGGCTGGGGTGTCTCTTAACGAGCGAATCGGCGACGGCGCTGATGCGGACGCATGTCGCGGATAGCCGCCCGTCGTCCAGCCCCTCAGACCCTGTGCCGCAACTGAGCCACCCACCCATTTTCACTCGTTGCGTGTCCCTTTTCGCCATCAGGCTGTGTCCTGAATCTCTTTTCTCCCCCTCGTTTCTGCAGCCTTCGATTTTTAGAAAACATCCGTCTTTCCCTGAGAATCGTTTCAAGCCTACAGCAAACAAAAGTGTGGAAAACATCAGACCCGCCCCCGCGATTGATCTTCCCGCCAGTTCACCGTCGCATCGGACCCATAATGGCCTCCTCCACCACGACCACCGAGACGGAGCCTCTCATCAACTCCAACCCGGTGCTGCAATCCTACTACGCGTCGCTTGAGTCCCGTATCGGCTACCGCCTGGTCCTGGGAGGAACACGGCACTTCGGCTACTGGGAGAATGACACCTACTTCCCCTTCCCACTGGGTCGCGGCCTGCGGGCCATGGAAGACAAGATGGCCGAGGTCCTGAACTTGCCCAAGGGATCAAGGGTGTTGGATGCTGGCTGTGGAAACGGACATGTCGCAAAGCACCTCGCCAGCAAGCACGGCCTCCAAATCGAGGCATTTGACGTCGTCCAGCGGCACGTAGAGAGGGCGAGGAAGACCATCAAGAAGGCTGGTCTCGAGAACCAGGTCACTGTCAACAGGAGGGATTACCACCACTTGGAGTCGCTGGCAAGTGAGTCGTTTGACGGCATCTACACCATGGAGACGCTTGTCCACGCCACGGACCCTGAGGCTGTGCTCGCGGGCTTCTTCCGACTGCTCAAGCCCGGCGGCCACCTCGCCAACTTTGAGTACGACCATGAGTTCGTCGGAGACTCTCCTGAAATCATGGCCGACAACATGCGCAAGATCAACGAGTATGCCGCCATGCCGACAAACGACCGGTCACATCCAGGTGTCTTCAAGCAACTCATGGAGGAAGCCGGCTTCGTGGATGTCGAGGTCCGCGATTTTTCCGAGAATATCCGCCCGCTGTGCCGCCTGTTCTTCCTCCTTGGAATTATCCCTTACATCTTCATCAAGGCGTTCGGCCTCGAGCGCTACTTCATCAACACCGTTGCTGGTGTGGAGACTTACCGGGGCAAGGGTCGCTGGAGGTACATCGCTATCTCGGCTACCAAGCCTGGAGAGACCATTGAGTCTCCCAAGTCGCGATGAGAAGATGACTCTCTAGCACCGGGGGATTTGGAGTCATGCGAAAGCCAAGCGACTGTGTTGAATTCCAAGGCACGGTCAATTGAATGAGAACTATTTGAAAGATTTCAGTCATGTGGCAGATTTGATTTCGGGGGAGAAGATATCCAATTTATGAGAAAATGCCGCGGAAAGAGGAGGGATGGTGAACCTCAAGTGGTCATGTTACTAGAATACACTACTCATGATAAATCCAACGAAGCCGAGTCATGATGCTAATCCGTCTACAACGTCCACGTATCAGCTGTTTGAGGGCACGTTCGAGAACTATGAATTCGATGGTCAACGTTACAGCAAGACAAGCTTCTCGGTCTTGAGGAGCGCCACTCATTGCTGGATGATTGTTTCAAGATAAATGTAAGCTAATCATAGGCGCTACTGAGTCTTTGGAATATTCACATCTGTTTCCACTTGAACTGTAACGAGATGACCCAGTAAGGGACAGGGAAAGATGTGAGTTCAAAACTAAGCAGTAGCCTGGTCAGCTGCGTCAACAACCTCCTGGCTTCTAAGCTGCTTGATGCCCGTGTATTGCCAATTAGATACGTACGTTCGAAGGCCTGCTCTCCATGCTTCCCGTTTGAGATTGCGTAGACTTCAATCACGGCACCTATCATTTTGTCAGTATTTAGAATAATATGATGTCTCTGAGAAATACGGCTTACCAGAATAATACGGCACCAACTCAGTACCCCTGCAGTAACCAAAGACTCTCATATCAGAACTGACTTCTGGCTCCGCCAGCCCAGCCGAGAAAGCAAAGTGCGTGTTATTGATGGCCCCAATCTTGCCTGTCGCGACCCTAGGCAGACACCGACAGCGCCCGCACTGGGGTAAATCTGTGCGGACAGAACCAATGGCGCTATCATGCCGACAGCCTTCAGATCTCAGCCTCATATCTTGGACACTAACAGAGACTCTACCAAGCTCGTTCTTCAAAGAATTCTTCCAACCGGCAAGCTGTACGGACAGCAACCCTCGGCTCATCCTTCATGTTTAGTGGTATCAAAGCTGGAACTGCTTTTGGAATGTCACGCTGGGCTCCGAGAATGATTGGCCCGAGGCGCGCTAGTTTTCAGTGCAATTGGTTCTTCACATACTCGTTCAACAGTTTCTCTGTGCACTTTCAAGAGAGAAAAGTGAGGACCGGCTGGCAGCAAATGGCACAGAATGATCACTAGAATGCGCAATTTGACACACACCTGAGAACCCGACATTGAGACGTTTGAGAAATTCAAGGTTAAGATTATTGGTTCGCAACAACAATAATTGCTCAAAGGTTTCACATGGTCTTCCCCACCCCGAGTCTCAGCCATCATGCGGAGTGTTCTGTGGCTTCGCGGATGAACCTATCAAATGGAGCCGCTTGCGTGTGTCTAAGATGATTCATCGCCGCTAAGCAGTCAGCATGGGTGCAGATCACGAAAACTAAAACCCAAACACAAAAGGGGCAGGGTTTCCTGGACATAAAATATTTGATGGATCCTTTCTTTCGACAATATTCAACCGCAGCCTCCTGTTGCGTGAATATTGAGCAGCCAACCCTCTACACCAAGCACCAGACACCCAACAAACTACCAGCATTTCTGCCGCCATTATGAGTACATCTACTGACTCCGTCATCTCGTTCTACGACATCATTCTTGATCCAGCTGCGTATCCCGGATCTCCAAATCCATGGAAGACACGATACGCTCTCAACTTCGCTAAAGTCCCCTATCGCACGACGTGGGTGCCCCTCAACGCCGTCGCTGAGACACGCAATTCTCTTCAACTTCCTGCCAACCGCAAGCACATGGACGGGAGTGACTTCCCCACGCTTCCCGTCATCCTCGATCCTCGAGCTCCTGCTGCCGACAAAAAGGAAATAGTACTTGGCGATACGTTCGACATCGCGCTACACCTACAAAAGACCTATCTTTCTTCTCCGTCGACGTCTTCATCCCAACAGCTCTTCCCCGCAGATGGAAGTGGAACGGTAGCACTTCATCGCGCCTTCAACAAGTTCGCCGGTGAGTTGTTCTCCCAGTATGGAGCTCCGCTTGCCGGGTGCTACATGCCTTTCGACCCACGGACCGAAGAAGCCGACAAGAAAGCAATGATGGACCGCTTTCCAGGAAAGACGAAGTGGGAAGAATTTGAAATTCCCCGAGGATCGGATATGAGGAAGAAGTTTCTTAAAGATTTCGAGGAAGCACTGGACACAAAACTTGGACCATGCTTTGCCGCTGCTGCAGATGATGGTAAGGGTCCCTTCATGGACGGCAGGAAGACCCCAATGTATGCCGACTTCATAATCGGCGGCTGGCTGCAGATGATGAGAGGCTGCCTTCCCGAGTGGGAAGAGCTAAGGGATAAGTGGTCTGACGGAAAATGGGGTAGACTGTTTGACGCGCTGGAGGAGTGGGCGAGAGTCGATGGACGAGATGGCGTGGTTCCGGCACGGCGATAGAGGATGTCGGTGGGTCTGAAAAGCCAGAGTGCATGTTGTAAGATTATATGACATGGTGTTTAATAGAATTCTGTATCTTTCATCCGCTTCTATCAATTGAGAAGTTGCAAATTTGAGACGAGCCCTCATTTCTGCATGCTTAATTTATTCGAAGAATGTTGCTATCCGCACATATTCTTCGAGCTACCTGGACGGATGGATGTTGCATCAGGTCTCATTTTTATTTCATGTTAGTAATTTCGTTATTCCGATTATCACTGTTATCCCTATTACTATTGTCCCCGTTGTCCCTATCGTCCCCATTATCCCCGTTATCCGCGTCGTCTCAATTATCGTCTTTGTCTGCTATCCGCCCGGATAGCGAAACTCTATTCGAAACCCATACAACTCTCGTCGCAAAGCGCTGGCCTGTGGAAAATGGTAAGATTATAAGAATAGAAAATGGAAAGGCTCATGAACTGGAAGTACAATGCTCTTAGACCTCGGGTTCACATATACTAAGACGTTGAAATCAGGGCCAGTCTGCCATTAACGTTGCGTGGAAGATGTGGCAACATGTGTGGTCTGTCTAGTA